CAAAAATTTCCATCTGCTGCTGAAGTCCAGAGTGGTTTGGTTTTCTTTTTTTGAAAACCAGGTAATCACTGTTCCCAGTCCTGCTTTTGGGGATAGCAATTCCAGATAGCAGTGCTGCGCTGACAGGTTGCATCTGTTAGGGAACACTGCTACCTAATAAGAAGTTGAGCATGAGCTATCCCCTCCTGTAGACATGCAAAAGACTTCTTCTAAAATGTGACAGTAAACCAACAGCCCCTCCTGGGATCCTCCTGTGATCAGCCAACACATTTTTAAACACAGACATCCTTGGGGAAAATCATATTCAACAATTTGTTTAATTAACATGTTTTCTAGTGTATTTTCTCTGTGTAAACTAGGTCTCTGAGGAAGAATGACTCATGAATACAGCCCTGCCATTATGGAGTACTTTTTGGAGTAACTTTCCATTTATCCACATTTTCTAAGGAAAGCATTGATTTGGCTCCTTACCAATGTTTGTGAGGAGCTCCAGGGTACCATTAGTTAATCCCATACCACATCACTAAATAGAATCCTGGGCAAGAGTTAAAATAAGTGTCACTTTCTTAAGTAAAGGCTAACAGGTAGATCTTTCTCAGCACAGTCTGTGCATGCTCTTGTATAGTTTTCCTTGGAGCCTAGTTGACATGTACTACAATTGAGAAGGGCACAGTACATTGCTGCTTTCCTAGAAAAGGAGTGAGCCTTGGCTGCCTAGTGAACCTAACATTTTGGGGCCTTTTCTGAGGAAGGTGTACCCTCAACAGAACAGGTAAAACCTTTATATATATATGTCTCTGAAGATTAGGTCAGATAGCGACCTGATGGAAATTCATTAACCTGTGCAGAATTTACTGCAGGGATGTTTTTTTCCCAGGCATTTCACTGTTTATGAAATAGTGCTGTTACAATCAGGAGGAGAGTCCATGCTCCATCCCATCAAATGGAGTGTTTTAGCCAAGAGAAAAGCATATTTAAGAGGAATTTGTCATTGTTTTGATTAGGATACAAAGATCAACACAAGATTCTTTCTGTCAGACTTGTATTCTCAAAAGGAAATGTATAGTACACATAAAATATTTATGATCATTTCATACATTGTAACTGTATCTATGTAAAAGCCAAAACAAATATCAACTGTTCCAGCTATACAATATACAGTGCCTGATGTGTTTATTGCCATATTTTCTATGACCAGTCTCCTGTCTGTTGTGTTCCTCCAGTGACTGTGTTATTCCAGGGAAATGAGTAACACAAGGGGAGGAGGGTGCATAATGGCTTCTACACTGTAGGGGGTTGTCTGAACTAACACATGGATCATGCTCTACATCTCTTGAGTCTGTGTTGAATCTGTGTTCATGTATGATGCAGAAAACACATAGAGGGTGAGCTGCTCAGGTTTTTTTGAAAGAAATCAGTGTCCATCACAGGCTTGTCACACTTTTCAGTTCATAGCTTTGAGGATTAATGAAATGCTAGAGATAAAAATATAAGTCCTCTCCTAAGGAATTCCAAAGCCCAAATGGTTCTGGTTTTATCTGTGTTATTTTGCAAGAACTGTTAGCTAGATTTCATTCTTTTTCTCCCAATGCAGTGAATAGATGAAGTATGGAAACCCTTGCAGATACAAGGAGAGCTATAATCCTGTGCTGCTGAAATCTCAAGCTTTCACATTTTGCCAGATGGATTGTTACAACACATTTTAAACAGTGTCAAAGTATTCTCAAGCCACGTATGATTATTGATACAAGACTTGCATGAATGATGGAATTGAGCAACAAAGAACAAAGGAGCTCAATATAGCCATCAGTCACCAAAATGTTTGCGTTGAGGAGATGTATGTGAAATTGACAGTTTGAAATTTTAAGTGTGAATCTTGTAGAGGGAAATGTAATGTAATCCATAATGGGAAACAATTTAAAGACAGAAGATATTAGTTGGGAAAGGGAAAATGATTTACTGAGGAGGGTCAGTTTGGGGGTCAGCATTTTCTGTCATTTTATTCCCTCCATGGGCTCAGTTACTGAGCAGAATGTTTTACATAATAGAATTCTGGACTCCCTTCTTGGTTGTTGATATTCCACTTGTGTATGCTCAGAGCCTGTCAATGATGACAGCTGGTTATTTCTTCAACACACAGATTTTGATTATGTCTTGTTTTACGGTCACTATTTGGTTTTCACAGGGAATTTTTTCCCACCCAGAAGACAACAAATGTTGGACTGACCCAGTAATTGTTCTTTCCTATATTTCCTTTGGGCTCTTGTTCAGCTAGTTGGATCAGAGTCGTTTTAAACATAATTAGGCCGTCATATATCACTCTGGGTTATTTTGCATGTGACATCACCAAGGAGACCCAATGGGAAAATTAGAGTATTTTTTGGACAATGTATCTGTAACTATTTTAACTACTTGGGTTTTTTTAAGTTTGTAAACAGTAGTCTTTGCAGAGTGACGAGTTAAAATATATTGCACCCTAATAGAGATGTTTAGTAAATTAGATTTTCATAGTGCTAATTGAATTTGTTACAAAGCTGATGAACATTAGCTAAGGAAAGGGCAATATATTTTATTTTATTGAGCACATCTCAGAGTGCTTGTAATTTAGTAGGGCCACCACACTTTCTGGGCAGGCTATCAAGTAGGATGTTGTAATGATTTGCATGACTACTATAGTAGATGGAAAAATGTAGCTTGTGTTCGTAGCTGTTCCATTAGTGTCTTGCACAGTGTGCAGCCCTTTGGTGCTCTTTGGAGAGCTGTGTCATAATCCCTGCATCTTTTGAAGAATTTGGTCTGGCGAAATCAAGTAAACTATACACCGTTTAAAACCTGGTGTGTAATTAGATGATGAGACAAAGGAAAGACTGAGAAAGTCAGATAACCAATAGAATCCTGAACTTATCAAAACAGAGCTCTTGCCAAGGACCTTGGAATTCATCTGATTCAGTTGCTGGAAAAATGCCTGAATTAAAAATTATCCTACAAGGACCAAGAAAATAGAGGCAAATTCTGGCACTCTACAGTTTTCTCCCAAAATGGTCATTAATGCTGCAAAAACAGAATAGGGTGAACAACCCTTGGCCCCATGCTTGGCCCCCTACTGTAGGCTCTATCTGCCAAAATTAGATGGAATAGAAGATCAAAAATGGGGAGAGGGGGAGAAGGTTGAAAAAAGAGAGCTTAGAAGAGGAGGGTGGTTGGAAAGGGAAATACTCATAGGCTATGCCCCCTGCCAGCACTGAAATACTCAGTTGCAGCTCCACTCACAAAGCACCTGTTGGCAGCTGTTGGAGCAGTTTATAGATTTTGAGATGGTTCCCTTATGTGAAATGTGATATGATCTTATTTTAGTAAAATAGAAGCAATTCTTGGACAATAATTAAAGCAATAAATATACCTGCACAGTAATAATCATTGACTGATATCACCTATGTTGTCTTCCTTTTATCCAGTATTGAAAATAAACAATCTTGCATGGAGCGAAAAGAAAATACAGCAAAACAATGATCATAAATATTAACCTGATACTGTATTTCAAACTCAGTGGCAGAAAACTAGGGATCAGGGGCTGTCTGGAAAATTTTATGTTTTTCAATCTTTATGCATTAGACTGTAATGATAAAAAAATAATGAAAATGAAGCTCAGATGTGGTGTGTGCCATTAAAGGAAGAGGACAGGGTGTGGAACTTAAGCCAGTGACCTCTGAAATAGGAGAGCATCCAGTGGAACATAAGCATGTGCCATGTGCTTAGTTTCAGTGGGACTCTATGTTATACCTAAAGAAAGGAATTTGCAGATATTTTAACTTCAAGAAGAATTCTTTCTTGAATCCAGATTTTTGGAAATTTAGCTCTGACTCATCAAAACATTCTTTATTATGAAAGCTTTGTAATTATTTTTACAATAATCATAAATAAAGTAAATAAATGCATTCAAACATTGTAATAACTATAGTCTTCATGACTTGTTTCTTCATTATGTAGCATTGAATTTATTACACCAGGTAAAAATAGTGAGTGGACATTTCAGCGTCCTAATAACCAGGGCACAGAAATTTCAAAGACATTTTAATTATTATCTAGGAATGTATGCATGTATTTTCTTAGAACTTCAAAGTCCTGTAAGATTTCTGTAGTAGTTTTTATTCTGTCTGCATATTGACAGATCTCTAAAATGCACTTTTACAGTAGTCTTGCTAAATACATCTTTTTACTGCTTGTTTGCTCTTTGGAGTGAGGCTGATAGGCCAAATGGAAAGGGGAGTAGCAAACCTAGAAATTTAACTAGAAAGTTTTCCCTTGGTTATGTGTGGACTTTTCATCAGGTGTCAAGTGGGTAGAAAAAGTAATAGAGCCAGCTTTGAAGGTGGTGTTGACAGGTGCATTTGGGACCTTCCAGATCTCTCTTATTACCTTGGCACTGGCCCCTTGAGATTCACACTCAAAGGGGAAAAGCCAGGACCACACATCAGCATTAGCACAGGGCAGGGTAGGACAAAGAACCAGTGAAGCTGCAGCTCAGATACTCAGGAATCAGCTGTCATCTTAGCATCAAGTGCATCTGAGCCACCAGTGCAGTCCTGCAGTGTCCTTAGGAATTATTCTTGTACAACAAAGAAGCAAGTGCCAACCTGAACTCCCTTCCTTTGCTACTCTCAACAAGACTTAATGCATTTATTTATGATGCCAGACAAATGTTCCCCTGTACTTAAGTCAGAAATCTGAGCGAAAACTAAGATTAAATTGATTATGTAGTAAAGTCCTCGCTTAGCCCACTCCAGTGAACAATTAGCTCTGTTCACTGTTGAAAAGCCCAATGGTTCATACACACTACAGAAGCACATGTTTAATGTATGAGGTGTACGAATATTGTGTCATCAATTATATGTGTAGGTTTTTACATTGCCTTTCAAATTTAAAAACTGCTGGAGTCAATGAAAATTGAATTACTATTTGTACAAATGTTTACTAGGCCTTTCTTTGTTATTCTTTTATAGGTCTTGTAGAAATTTGCCTGATGCATCCCCTTGATGTAGTGAAAACAAGGTAAGATCATGCTTGAACAGGTTTTGTTGACATTGGAAGATATCCAAATTACAAGCTGTCAAAAAATAAAATCCTAGAACTTCTCCCAGTAAGATAACTTGTGCCTCTAATGACATTTATATTTGCTTACCTGCATTTACAGCACTTGACAGATGGAATTTGAGTAGCATGGCACATTTCTGATTAGAGGTCATCTAAACGTGTTAAATCTGGTTATGACATTTATTTTTACTCTTGTAACACAATGCTATGACATGAAGATGGCTAAAGTTAAATTCACTTTGTATATGTAGTATCTGCAGTAATGCTTTTATATTTAATTGGGAAATGCCATATTGCCTTCAAAATAATTTTCATCAAATTTTAATAAAAATAATAAGAGGAGATGTTCCATATTCTTTGTAAGAAAAATAACTTCATGATTTTATATTTTTAAAATATTTTTGTCTTTATTTTTTTTCTGAATATTTCTTCTTATGTGAATATAAATTATTAAATGCCCACAAAAATTTGCTGAAGTTTGTTTGGTTTTTGTTAATGTTGGTTACTGAAGTGGAAAAAACGAATAGCTGTGTTTCTAGTTTCTGGAATATCCTTTTATTTCCTATGCATTTTAGTTTTTCTATAAATTCACAAATCAGTGTTACTGCACATGAAAAGCAAACCAGAATGGAGAAGCATACTGGTAGGAGGTGAAAGCTATTCATGCCATGTGTGTTACGCAGTGCCAAAAATTACGATAGATACTGTTCCTGGAGCTCTATCTAGGTCACAGACATGTAGGCAGAAAAGCTTCACTAGGAGACTAATCAGCCCCACACAAATGATGAGGACAGCTGTGATCTCTGGAATATGCTTGAAGTTGTCAATTATGACTTCATATTCTAGTTTCAGTTAGCCAACATGTGCTTTTTTTGGATGCATTTTTGGCTTCTATTTAAATCACATTTTGTGATTTGCCTAAGACCTTGAGATGCATTTTTTTGCAGGTTGCGTTTTGTAGAAGGAAGTAAGCTGTGATCATTGCCCCATGCCAGGAAAGAGTTATTCAGGCTCCAGGTGCATTAAGTGCTGCTGAGGTGCTGTAGGTCCTTCTTGAGGCTTGGAGGTTGCTCAGGCAATCCTTCCATATCCCTTCATAACGTGGATGTGTTGATTCATACAGAGACAGTGCTCCTGGTGGTTCTGAGGGTCCTCTCTGCCCCTCCAAGTACCACTGGAACAATCCTATTAAAACAAGACTTTCATGAGATGGAAATTAAAGACTCAGAGGCAACAGAGTACAAATACAAATACAACACCAAATTGAAAAGAAAAAAAAATCTTTCGTGGTCCCAAAAGGATGTGCTTTAGTGACTTCATTTTGGCAGTTTGTGCTTTGACTCACCTCTAGCTTTCAAGCTTTGGTTTTACTACTCCTCATTTTTCTCTTTGCACTGGATTAGTGTTCTTTTGTAGTAAGAATGTAGATAATTCATAATTTAGCGTAAGCCACATATCGTGTCAGAAAATGCATTAATTGCACATCTGTACTGGCAATCAACAGAGGTACTTTCAGTTTTCTGATAGGACCAGAGGACTCTCAGAACACAAGGACAGATTTCCCCGTGTCTCTTTGAGCTTTCACTGAGTTTTACACACTTTTAGCAGTGAAAAAGCTTTTCAGACCTGAGGTCCTGAAATGTAAAGCATTAAAGAGTGTATGGGGATATTTGTCAAGCTGTAACAATCCTTAAAAACACAATAAAAATTAAAAATTAGGAAACCCATAAATTTGAAATGTGAGCCCATAAACAGTGGAATTTTAGAAGAAAGAAAGAAGTAGGAAGAAAGGAAACAACAGTAGCTGTGCAGAAGAAATCAGATTATTGATGAAAGTAAAACTGAGGGGCTGAATCAAATTAAAAATCCATTAAACAAATTTCTTTATTTGAAGAAACTTCCATTGAGTTAGTTCTTCCACTGAGTTAGTTGCAGCTCTTTGCAGAAGTGGGCAGCACCCAAGTGATAGTTTTTTTAGTTTGTTGATGCAGATGTATTCAGAGATATTACACAGATTTTGCAGAAATGTTTCCGCAGATCTCAGCAGATGGTAGTCGTTCAAAATACTTACATTTTGAAAGCAAATGACAAAACCAAGAATAGAATGTCCTTTGATCACATCCATCATTTTGTTCTATGTTCCTTTCATTTTGTAATGGTCCCAATTTACTATAGCAGATTAATTCTTTGATGGCCTTGAAAGTTTAAATGAAACATTGGTTTTAATTCTGAATTTCGGACATAGAATGTTTTCTAATAGTTTTTCATTGACTTTATTCCTTTCTTGCAGTGCTTCTAAGTACTATTGTGTGCTTAATCTTTCCCAACATGGTATTGATAATCCACTGTTTCCTAATCACTTCCAGCTATTATAGTTTTGGTGATTAGTTTAGGGTTTTCTTCCTATTGGTTAGGTGAAAAGATGTATGAAAGCACCATTTCTTCCTTAATTTTTATGGTGTTTTGAGTTTCCTACCTTTTTTCCTAGAAGTGTGTTTGGTTAGAAGAGTCCTGTGGCCATTTCAAATTATGTAATCTCATTGATCTAAGTGACTGTTCTGAAGGAGTTTAGGGAAGATGTCAGAGGCTCACATCTAGTGTACTGGTGGCTTAGTGCTTCATTGATATTTTGTGTAAGTGCATGTTTTTAATAAAAAATTGGAGAAAATAAAGTTTCTGTCAAAGATTATTTTGAAACCCTGGAAAATGGTTTGGCTCTTCTATGACATTTTGCAATATCTTTTCTGTGTTTAGCAATTTTCTATTATTCTACAGTAACAATGCTAGATTTGTTTATCTGCTCACATCAAGGGAGGAACAGTATATAAGTACATGCTTATAAACCATAGATAATCCAAATGCTTAATGAAGTGTTTTTTTCCTAAGTGTACATGTGAAAATAATTTTATTTTTTTCTCTGCTAGAACACCAAAGATCACTACTCTAAGAAATTCCTGATAGCTGGATAGATTAAGATAACTATGATTCATTGTTTTAGCTTTATGAATCCCACTTATTCTTTGAAATGAAGCTCTTTCCTCATTTGCAAGATATATTGGAATAGTGTCAGATGAGATATTAAAAAAAGGTGTGCTGGTTTATTTTTTTTAGAACAGTTTCTAATAGCTATTTTATACATCAGTTACCTTATGGTTAAGCTAGCCATCAAATAAAGTACTGAACCTCTGTTCTTTTCGTCCTGAAAACAGAGTCTGACAAGTTTTTTTGTGTGTCCATGTATGAGAAGTGACAGCACTAGCAAGAGTTTTCTGGCACAGATACAGTCAAGACATAGAAGGTCTATTTTTTAATTAAGAGCTCTAGATGATCTTTCTTTCCTAGAAGGTGAGGGAGGAGAAAAGTGTCTTATCTTAGGATAAAGGATTGGGTTTGCTTACTTTGTACCTTTTTTTGTGTCTGAAGCATAATGCAGGCTGTAATGTTGTTTTCATCCGTGAGACTTTCAAAGGATGACAAAATGACCTAGTAGGTCATGATACATAGGACAAGACATTGCCATATATATTACTTTAAATTTAAAAACAGTAAGGCGATTTTCCAGGTAGAGTTTATGTCTTGATTCAATCAAATATACAAAATTCACAACTTAAATACGTTTTATTGTTGGATAATTAGTATTTATGCAGTGTGTGTAGTTGGTGAGAGAAAGGGAGAATTACAGGGAGCTGTGTAAAGCCAAGGGAAAGCTAATTGTATTTGAGGAATCAGTCACCCAAGCCTAGCTAGTAACTGGAGGATCTTGCTGTGGTCTCTCTGACAGTTCCAGGTTATAGTCTGAGGTTATTTCCCTAGGCTTATGAGTTCATTCTCCTTATGTGCTTTTTCTTTTTCATTGATTATCACCAGTATTTATACAGCTGAATTTTAATGACTCCACTGTTCTTGAAAACAATTTCAAAATTTCCTTTGCAAGTATTCATACAGACTGTGAAACATATATTTGTGTGGAAATAGTAATTTTGGATGTGACTTGGTATTAAGTAGTCAGGAAATGGAAACCTACTGAGTAATTTTTTTCAACAGTTATCTACAGAATTTAATAGAAAACACAAATGAAGAAATGTATGAATAGGTGTTTTCAAAGAATAGATTAAAAAATAACAACAGAAAAACTTTCAAATGCATAGCATCTGAAAAGAAAATATATCTGAAATTCCTGTGAACCAGAAAAATGTTATGGGAATTAGATGAATCATTTACTTCTCTATTCCATTTTAGGTGTAATATGACATCACTATGCATTTTGAGACAAATATCTGAAAGAGAGATGGTTTCTCTCACATCACAATAATACCAAATTGTCCTCCAGATCTATGTTGACTTCAGTGGAGATAGATGAGTTCATACCACTGGAGTATTTAGAGATTTTTTACTTTCAGACAACGTATTCAAAGAGAGGTGAATGTTATGCCAAATACCATATAAAAGACTTGGAGAAAATCTAGTTTATTATTTTATTAATAATAGAATAGTAGAATCATCAGGGTAACCTTTATCCTAACATTTTAGACATATATTCAGTGGGCAGTTTTTTAATACTTCTCTAGTTAACTCAAATAATGACAGTTCCATTTGATTTTTTTCTCGATGTTGAAAACATTCTTTTCTATTTTTCTATATAGTTGTGCATTTGCAAGGCAGTCTCACATTGAGATGAGCATGCAATTTCAAAATCAATGCATAAAGGAGACCCAGGAGACATTATTTTGAAAGATTTTACTTTTATTTATCAGGAGAATAATTTATAAGGTGTAGCTTATTTTTCTGATCAACCTATCACATGTTCCGGTGTTTTTTATTAAAGCTGTTTCTCACCTTTGGCAGGAAGGCTGCAGTCCATATTGCTCTACTGTAATGCCTCTTCACAAATGTCAGCTTTAGATTAGAATCTTCATATGGACTGACTTTTGGTCTCATGTATGATCCTGAACATCAGC